TTTCTTTGTTTGGTTTTTGTCCTATTACCACTACTTTTTACATACTCTAATTTTGTATCGATGACTAGGCATTGCAGACGGTGAGAAATAGAACATCAAGAAAGGATACAGTTTCAAGATGAAATTTAATCTAATATTATCGTCACTCATGATAACAAGTAGACCTTATAAAAATTTTATTATTATCATATTAGTTAAAGAATGATCAAATACCATAGAAAAAGAGAGCATTGTTTTTACTATTATATAATATAGAGAGGAAGTTTTGTTTTATAAGAAATTAGAGTACTTCCGCTATTAATTTCGGATTGACTTAAGTGTATTACAAGATGCTGACAGTTCTAAATGCACTGAGAATAAAATAAAGCTTTCATCTTCTAGATTTGTACTTTTCAATGAAAAATAAGTTGCTCATGCCAGTTTCATGAACATAAACAGTATTCGATTAAAAGGATTAGCAATCAATGTGTAAACTCTTTAAAGAAGCCTTTAGTTTAAACTATCTTAAGTGACACATTCAACAGTTTCTTATGCATAGAAGCTTAGCATGAATTTAGAATTAAATATGACTTCATTTTAGGTGATGAACTAAGTCGAACACAACAAGGTAATAATAATGCATATTGTCAAGATAATGAAATATCTTGGTTGAATTGGAAAAAAGCTGACCAAGCATTGTTACAATTTACACAAAAATTAATTCAATTACGTCGCCAACATCCTGTTTTTCGTCGTCGAACATGGTTTCGTGGTCGACCTGTAAAACCTGATGAGATTGAAGATATAGCTTGGTTTAAATTTGATGGTAAACATATGCAATACGAAGATTGGCAACATGATTATGCCAAATCATTTGGAGTTTTTATCAATGGACGAGGAATGCAAGCTCGTTCATCATTAGGTGTACGGCTTACTGATGATAGTTTTTATATAATATTTAATGCTTATCAGGGTTGTATTGATTATAAATTACCTGGAGAAGAATATGCTAAAGATTGGACATTAATCTTAGATACGAGTGAAGATACAATTATTAATGAAGGTGATGAAGGAAGAATCTATCAAGCCAGTGAAGCAATAACAGTACATGACAATTCTATTTTACTTTTGCATCATGTTATTCCAAAAGATGAACATACTACAGTACCTATGGTTTAGTATTTTATTTCTGTAGTATAATTTTTTATGTAAGCTGTGCTTCTTTTTTGTTAAAAATGTTGTAGTATGTATGCTATTAGTTTTTTGTAGACAAGCCGCATTTTTTGTAGACAAGCCGCATTTTTTGAATAAAAATTGAATCGTTGAATGTAGATAGTATGATAGATGTATATATGAACAATTTCAGATAGAACAGAGCCATGTTCGTATCTTGTAAAAGTTAAAGTTGAATCTTGAAAGTATGAGATAGATATTACCAGTGATCTTTAGTGTATAAAAATGACATTAGTGTTTCACTTGCGTGTTTTTCATTTGCGCATTGATATGATGATTTATGTATGTATGATCAGACTAGAGTTTATTATTGATTGGCAAGAATTGGCAATATCCGTAGTCTGGAATAAATGAATTATGATTTCAAACGCAAAAAAAAATACTTCACTAAAGTTACATACACATTTCGTAAATACTCCATTTCTTCTCTTTTTCATTATATTCACTTGTTGTTTTACAATAAATGCCAACAAAAGAAATAGCATTCAAGCAATTGATAATTTTGAATTTGAAACATTTGTCCGAACTCATCTGGTTACCGATCTTGTCGATGGATTATTTTTCAAACTTTGTATTAGATATTACAGAAGTCTTTTTTTTACAATGTAATCAGCACATTGTTAGTTGTTGGCAACACACTATTGCATAAGTGATCAAGATAGCTTCCATTTATTTCTATATCTTAATGTATTATTACCATCGTCACCAAGTGAAATGAAAACTGGTATTTTAAGCGAACTGAACATTTTCGAGAACAATGCAAACAAGCAAATGCGCAATAATAAAACTAATGGAATAAATTCAGGCACAGATATAGTATGTATTAGGATATAAATAACAAACGAACTAGACTTTATGAATCCAACTATTCGTATAAAAACGCATGAACCACAAGAAAAGTGATGTTGTTTGGCTCTCATTAAAGCTATAATTTGAGTGCAAGTGTTCTACTATAATGCTTAACATATTTAGGATCATGTGCAAAATTATAGCTTTTTATGTCTCATGAACGGTTGTCTTTTCTCATTTTCTTTCAGATTAGTGACACATTATTTCTGATATGAGCATGAACTCTCACGAGAACATGTTTGCAATATGGTATTACATGTATGCACAATTCTTGAATTCACGAAAAAATCAAACGTATGATAAAACTAGTCTGACTTACGTCGATTTAAACCCAGATCAGCTTCTTTATTAGGATTGAACTGTCTAACGTTGTGTGCAATCTGCATCGTGGTAAGAGAGTTCAAACTCATATGGAAAATGGTATGTAACTAGTCTGAAAAAAGTGGAAAAATACAACGATACACAAGACATAAAAAGACTGAAAATTTGCTCATAATCCTATATATGTTTAAGTATTATAATAGAACAGTTGTACTCAAAATGTGCATTTTAGAAGATGGGTGCGAAAAAAAAACTTTTTTAGTGCCTCATATATTCATAAACTTGTAGTATTCAATGTTTTTTTATCTTCGAAAATATTATTGGAAAATGTTTTTCAACAGCAGAAACTAATCGAAATATTTGTCAGCAAATTATAGTAAAATAAGAAAGAAACTTTTTATCCTCTTATGTCCAATATCCTTTTCTTATAATAAAACACTTGTTCTGTTTTTATTCATTTATTAAGCAGCCCCTCCCTTCTAGAACAGGACTTTCATGCCAAGACATAGTATTGAGCTGAGGTTTTGTGCACATAATGAAGCTGTCCAGTTACGTACCTAAAAAAAAAGTTCAGCTTCGTATCTCAGTTTTTTTGTAGTTATAACAATTTTGGTCTTTACATAACATTCATTTTTGAGATCTTCTCAAGTCTTCAACACTGAAAAAATCAATTCTTTTTATTTTATAGACGACACGTGGGCCTAGTAACTTTTGGGACTCTTTTCTCAGATGTTCTTCGTCTTTTAGAATTCAGACATGCATGAAGTGAAAAACTTTTCGATGCAAGAGAGAAATTTTATGAACATAAACAAGTCAGGTCGATCACCCTCAGTCGTACATGGCTGTGTACCGTTGCCGTAAACAATGACCACGAAAAAGCGTCGTTACCGTCTGCCATAACTAGACGGTGACTGTAAAAAAGGTCGGAGAGCATTGTAAGCGATCGAATACGACAGTTACAAATGGTTCAGTAAAAGATTGGTGTTTTTCATCTCATTTAAGACGCACAGCTGAGCTGCGAACATTCTAGAATGGAAACCCAGTGAAGATTAAATGGTTGTGTTTCTTAGTTTTTTATCTTTTCGTAATAGAAACGATACTTAAAAACATTGATAAAGTTCGCAATAATGACTTTATGAAGGTTTAGTAGATATTTTCCACACTTCTTCTATATTCACCAAGGACTGAAAATCTATTGATATCATGCTTAGATAAATTCTTAAAAGACTGCATGTAAGATATCTAGGTAGATCTGGAACGACCGTATACAAGATGCTGATGTAAATATCGAAAGCTTGCATCTATGACATCAAGAGACATTTAAAAAGTTTGCAGGTATCCAGTCGTTCATAAGTAAACGAGTAACAAGAAAACTATTGAGATCGGTGCGTAAGTACATATTTACTACTTCATAAACATGTCTATGTATATTACGAAAGTTTAATGTGTGAATAATAAGGTCACAATCGATGTGCATCTTCTATTCGTTCATTGATGGGAGAGCATTCGGTCACTATGCGATTAGACGTTCTGACCTCATCACCCATAATAGCTGCTAAGTCACTCTGTCATCTATTTATTCTTTCTTCTCTCGTATATAAGCTCGTGTTATGTATGAAGTGGACAGAACTGTAGTGATAGAGTAGTGGAATGGCTATCATTTTTCACAAAACGTAGTTCCCTGAATCAATCCCTAAATCAAGTCCACATTTGTGGACAATCAAACAATTAACGCAGTTCTGGTGACCAAGTGGGAACTTTAATATAGAGACTTTTTGAATAAGGGCTTATTTAATAAAAGAGATATTATTTACATCTAGACGTCTCAAAGCTTCCGACTGAGGAACGGAATTGGTTCGATCATCCGTCTCTTCTGAACAAAGAACTGGCACTGGTTACCAGATTTTCTTTGAAAAGAGTAGAATCTGGTCACCAGACTTGTTTTGAAAATAACGGAAACTAGTCATCAATTCAGCTTCTTCTCAAATGAATTCTGGTCACTAGATTATGTTCTTTTCAAAGCAACTCTGGTGACTAGTGCCAGTTCTTTTTTCAGAAGAGACGGATGATCGAANATCGATCGATAGTGAGGTACACTGATTTCACCCAGTTAGTGGTGCGAAGCAATGACTGTTTTGTTTGGTCGTTTTGGTATAGGTGTATTATTTTTTAAACCGTTGTCGACAATCGGCGGATACGTTATTCGGTAATATCTAGCGTGTACAGTACATAACAATGGTTTATGGTATGCTTGTTTACGGTCTCCGTATTGCTACAGTGCTCTTCAATGGGCATTGTTCGTAGTTATTACTTCCAATCGTCTTAATGCGGCGTAACCGATGCTAAACAATTGGCAAAAGAAAGTGCCGTAAACTGCTCATAAATATGTCGTCTCACGTTGGTTCGCAAGGAACTTATACGGTGCCGTTTCGTTACATTAGTCGTTTATGATCGACTTTTACGGGTGTCATGTACACTGACTGTAATATTCCGGGAGGCATCGTTTATAGTTGTTGTAGAAGTCTGGCGAAAACGATTACTCTTATCCGCCATAACTACTGGGCATATGGCCGCGTACAACCGAGCATAACTGACCTGGGTATTCACCATTTACTTATATGGCTTATATGTTTCAATATGATTCAACACATGGACGTTTCCCAGGTGAAGTTTCTCATAAAAATAACAAACTTATTGTTAATGGAGAAGAAATCAGCGTCTTTAACGAGTGAATATTCTAAATCAATAAATTCTGATGTCTCATTTTATCTTATTTTTTTTAGACAAGAATTAGTGAAAATTCCATGGGGTCAACTTGGTATGCGTTTTTTTTCTTGACCTTGAATGATAAGTAATTAATTGGTTTCTATTTTTTCTAAAAAGGTGCTGAATATGTTGTTGAATCAACCAGTGTATTTACAACAATTAATAAATGTCAATCACATTTACAAGCAGGTGCTAAGAAAGTTATAATTGCAGCACCATCAGCTGATGCTCCCATGTTCGTTATGGGAGTTAATGAAGACAAATATACAGAAAATGAAGCCGTTCTTTCAATTGCATCATGTACAACAAATTGTTTAGCACCACTTGCTAAAGTTATTCATGAAAAATTTGGTATTATTGAAGCTTTAATGACAACTGTACATTCGTATACTCCTACGCAAAACACTGTTGATGATCCATTAAATGAAGTATTGAATTAATCAAGAAAAAAAAAGATTTTTATTTGTATTTTATTTCTATAGAATTGGCGAAGTGGGCGTGGAGCTGTACAAAATATAATTCCATCATCAACTGATGCAGCTAAAGCTGTATGTTTATTTTTTATTTTGAATATAGTTATAAGAAATTTAATTTTTATCTAATTAGGTTGGAAAACTTATTCCTGATTTAAATGGAAAATTAACTGGTATGGCTTTTCATGTTCCAACATCAAATGTTTCAGTTGTTGATCTCACTGCTCGATTAAACAAAGGCGTAAGACATCTGTTTTGTTTTCTTTTATTCGATTTATAAAATTAAATTTATTTTTTAGGTTACATATGAAGAAATTTGTGCTGCAATTAAAGAAGCTGCTAATGATTCATTAAAAGGTATTTTGGCTTATACTGATGATGAAGTTGTTTCAACAGATTTTATTGGTGATAAACATTCATCCATTTTTGATGCTAAAGCTGGTATTTCGCACAATGATAATTTTGTTAAACTTGTTTCATGGTATGTTTTCATTTATTTTTTATTTTTTTTTGTATAATATATAATATTTTCTTTTAAGGTACGACAATGAATATGGTTATTCAAATCGTGCCATCGATCTTATCAAATATATTGTTGAAAAAAAAGATTATGGAAGATAAGCTTAAATGAAAACGATCCTTATCATGATTACGAACATGAATATATTAGTTTTATCTACTTTGACTTTCTTTTATTCAATCTTTAACTTTAGCGAAAAAATATTTTTTTCTCAATAACTTTTACGTCTATTTTGCTAGTTATTTTCATTTACATATGATAAGAAATAAAAGAAGTCATACTTTTTTCTTTAAATATATTTCCATGTAGACTTGTCTTGCATGATTAAATATAATTAACAATGTACATGAAAAAAATGCTGTGCAGTTTTTCGATAGAATTTAGATTGAAACAGGAAAGAAATGGACCGTAAAACGATTGAAGATCGTTGTCGGTTTGCGAATCAATGAATTGTATTAAAAATAAATTAAATATAGATATTATCTGCATAAAATTCATTTCAGACACGAAATGTGAGAAGTCCAGCTAACGTTACTTATTCCTGTAAAAACGGGTGAATAATGCTGAAACTGAACTTCATTTATATTGTATCGATCACGTTATTTGTAAAGAATGAAATGAATATACTGTATTTACAAAATCTTATTATATGTCAAGCACTTTGTTTATTTCAAAGCAGTAATTTATTCCAAACTTAACCAAATTCTTATGTCAATTATAACATGTACAAGAATAGTATACAACACGGCAATGATCAATTTCGAACTCAATTTTCAGTTAGGTATAAAAATAACTAATGATGTATTGTTGTGATTAAATTCAAATAAAAAATAAATAGATCGATATTCTTCTTGTTGTTGAATGATGAATCGACACCAATAGAGAGATACAGTTGACTTGCTAAAAGATTACTTTTGAACGAATAATATTCAGGTTCTTGAAGATTTCTTTTAGTTGTTTAACTAAAATTTCAGACTGTTTTCTGTAGCAATTTCAAATTGGCAGTCAGAATTATAATTTCTTACAGGTTTTTTTACGAATAGTTTTGAAGTGCAATTGTGTGTTTAATCACACTACATCCGGTAGTTATACGATTTCAGTAGCATTTGAAATATGAATATGTTATCATGAGGATAAATTTTAAAAGGACATCTTATAATTAAGTATTTAAACCATATTTTCAGTAAGGTTTTGTATTAACTGATACATGATAAAACAAACTTATTTGCCTGTGAAAAAAACTTTTTGGACAAAATGAAAAAAATAAAAAGTTTACAACGCTATATGAATGAACTGATTGATCCTGTTTCGACGATTATCTCTACGGAATGCTATATGGATATTGCAGATCAAATGATTGATAAAGAATATTCAGTATAGAACGATAAATCTTTCTTTCTAACATAAAATTTTTCATCTATTTCTTGTATATTTAATAAAATTAATCAATAAAAAGATATTTTAGAAGTAGTTTATCAAAAGAAAAGACTTTTTCAATGATCATTTTGACTGGTTGAAAGTAGATATTCGTCGAGAACTCTCCATTGGATGAGACAACATTCAATATCAAGAACATTTTTAGTATTTTTTTTTATTATGATAATAGTACACTTTTCTCTGATTACATATCATCTCACGATTTTTTGGACGAAGATTTAATAAAAAACTTCATCATATTTTTGTTGTTGATAGCTTTTCTTTATAGGTACACTTTTTCGTCTTTCAGTCGAGTTTGTACACTGAAGCGGGGAATACAATGCATAACGTCCACTACATGGGCGTTACGTGCAACAATAGTAAATTTGTTGTAGCAACATAATGTATCAACATTATATCCCAGGTGTAATCATGCGCTGTTTTTCTAGCAAATTAGTCAATATTTTTTTGGTTTTCTTTTTACAAACAAGTGTTTCTTATCAACTATACTATCTGCATTTACTTGAATTTTGTACAATAGTAAACTTCATAAAAGCGATAGATAATACAGATCACATAATACAGTGAACGATAGAAGGGTATTTCCATGGGTATTCAACCACAAAAAACACGAAGATCTCAGAAAATGTTTTGATGTATCACAGTTTGTAGAGCTTTTTTCGCTGATCATTTTGGTAAAAAAAAGTTTATACTTTCGTCAACAAATGACGGTGATTGGGTCAAAATACTGAAAAACGTGAAATGGCTTTGGCTACTTGACTTTTTTCAGTATTTTGACTCTATCACCGTCATTTGTTGTCGAAAGACGAACTTTTTTTTTATCANAGTTTGAGCTTTTTAAAATAAATATTTTTCTTTGTAAATTCCACCTATATTTTCGATCGTCATTGCTTTCAATACATGATCTTTTGGATAATTTATTTCGTCAATAATTAAAGCTTTTTGACAATAATCAAGTGCTTTGTCAAAATTACCTTCATCTTTATAGATTAAACCAATATTATTTAATGATATAGCTATATGTGGATGATTATTTGGTAATTTTTTTCGACGAATTTCATAAGCATGTTGATACTTTTCTAATGCTAATTTTAATTGACCTTTATCTGCCATGAAATTACCAATTTGATTGTGAATCGAAGCGATATCTTCATGATCAGATGATAAACAATCAAGTAAAATATCAAAATATATTTCTGATTGTTTTGATTGATTAAGTTCAGTAAAAAGATGACCAAAGAATATTAAAAAAGAATTTTCATTTCTAAATTTTTTTATTGATTGAAAATATGTTTGAAGTTTGTTTCGAATTGGATTATTATAGATGAGATCTATTTTCCATAATTCTAGAGAAATATCAAATTCAATTGAATTTATTTTGAAAATCGTATCAATATTAAATATTAATTCTTGTGTTTCAGAAATTTCTACAAATGTTATTTCTTGAAATGTTGGATTTATTTCAAATTGAAAAAGAATCGATTGATATTCGTCAGATAATATTTTACTTTTTGCTAATGCAATGGAATTATTTTTATTAAACGATGTCGAAAGAAAACCATTCGGTGAAATATAATAACCAATATGTTTGTTTAATTCATCTAATTGAATTTTTAATATTTTTTGTCCATAATATAGTTTTAAAATTTTTTTATTTTGATATTTTTTTTTGTTTAATTGAATTTGATGATAAAGATCAATAATAAAATATTGAAATAAATAAATCAATTGAATATTTTTTGTTCGTAAAGCTTGATTTAATAGTTTACGAATAAAATATTTTTCATTAAATAATTTAATAGATTTTTCTTTTGTGTAATCGTTTTTAAATTGATTTATTTCATTTTTATAAAACTTATGTATCTCATATATTTTATTAATGATTTGTTCATTAGCAGGTATTTGCTTAAGTATATCAATAAGAAATTGATACCAAAGAAATGATGCTGAAGTTTTTGATAAATCATTTGTATAATATTTATTTTGATTGAATAGATAAAAAGATAAAACGCGTTTTTCAATAATATCTATTATTTGTTGAATTGATTTAATTAATAAATCATAATCAGAATATATTTGAATAACTTTTTTATATTCATTCATTAATTCCATTTGGTTTTCTTCATTTATATTTGAACAGAAAATAAATACAGAAATTAATAAAGGATGTGAATGAATTTGAGAAAGAATCGTTTGAGCTAAAGTTGTTGAAACTATGAGAATTATTTGTTTATCTGTAATTGATTTTATTAATGTTATACATCGATTAAGATCCGTATGAAACTGAGTAGTTGAATTTAATTCATTTAATTGTGATTGAATATGAGGAGAACAATGCGAAGTATCAAGCCAAATTAATTTTATATTTTCATTGTTTTCGTTAACTTCATTTGAATTAATATTAGATGATTCTCTAGACATATTTCAAATACGAATAATTATATTTGATTTATGTCATCAATAGTGACGAAAATTTTATTTCTGAAACGTGTTTTATTATTTATTAGAATGAAAGAGAACGTGTAAAGAAATCAAGCTTTTTTTTTTGCCAATGTCTACAATCATTTTTTCTCGTTCTGTTTAACAACTGATGTTATTGCTATCCTTCAAATGTTGCCACAACAAATCTTTCTATAGTATTCATTTCATTAATTTACTATTACAAATCCATTATTAAACGTTTTTCCATAGAGATGGAACTTATTATAAAAAGAAAAACAGGTATAGCAAGAAATTCTATATTGAATTAAAACATGAAATAAGTCACAACTCAATATGTGTTTGAAGCATGCGATAGAATATGACGTCTACACATTATTTTTGTTTTGTTCAACTTTGTTATAAAATAAAGCAATGTCACAATAAATTTTTTACGATGACTTCAAAATAAAAATGACACAGTTGAATTAACAAAACAAAATATCGTCATAGGAATAGAATAACAAGTATATGCATTACAGTTGTATGACTATGCATAGTCAATTAACATTAGCTTTTGTAAAAGATCTTCGTCACGATTTAAATGCATTTTATTGACCCTTTGTTTTTTTGAATATAAGTAGAGATTAAAAAAATGCGTGATATAGCATCTGAATTGATAGTCAAATCGTGTTATATTCTCTTGTCGTATTGAAAACGAAAATCAAGAATATATGTTAACATATAATGTGCATTAAATATGTGATATAAATACATGAATTCGTTTATTAGGAAATAGTAGAGTACTTTTATCTATTGGTAATGAAGTTGATTGAGGTTTGAGTCTTCGTTTTGAAAGTTTTCAATGTTCTGCACTTGATTTTATATATTTACATAGTTATACAATAATACAATGTTGTTTTCTTAGAAATTTAAAAAAAAAGCTATTCGATTAGGATAAGAATATCAAAAAAAGCTTTTATGGAAAACTTTGATGCACGATGTATAACGTTATGCAAGGTAACCATAGCCTATTCCAAAGCATGTAATAGGTCAGGTTAGTGTTAGGATAAGACAATTTTTTTAAATAGGGTAAACAGTACGAAATAGCTTATTCTACATATTTCTAATGAAGTGATACACCACTGGGGTTGAGATAAGATATATACACTTTTATATGCATAAACTATGTGTAGCCTGTAACCCAGACAGAGGGCATTGAATAGTAGTGATTACATCGATACAGTAGTATATATTTTCATTCGAAGAAAAAAAAATAAAACATTAAATTGTTTTATTATGCTTATTGTAACATAGCATAATTGAAATTTTATAATATGTAATTGGATATTAAAGATCAAATAAAAATATACTACTTTGTATGATAAGTTTTCTCCTAAAATTTTTGAAGAATTAAATAAAATTAGACTTATTTGTATACAAATGCAAAATATAATAAACGATATCACTTTTGTGTTGTCACAAAATAAAAACATCCAATAAATTCTATCACGTGATCTAAAACAGTTTTTCTGGTAAAATCATTTACTTTAAATCTATCAAGTAGAGCTTCTTTAATATTGCATAAATTATTCGTACTTGTTGTTTCTAAAATGCTATACTTAATCATATTGACAATTCATAGAAATATGGTTTCATTCGATGATATAGTCAATTTTTCATATTGTTTTAATGAAATAAGGAATTTTAAAAAATTGTACACAAACCATATTACAAAGTTTACCGCTCAAGCGTTCAGTTCAAGTTCGATTAATTTTACTATCCATGATGAGTTTTAAATGATCTATCGATATGATCTATATACAAATTATTGGTCTAAAACTACTTGTAGGATACTATTTTGTGTGTCAAAAATGAAACAGCTTTTTTTCCATATAAATATTTCATTTAACATTATTGTTTCAGGTTTTAAATAGCTATCCAATTTTGTAGCATTTAAAAAATTTGACTGAAGTGAAATAAAAAAGAAACCTCCTATTTCTCTACTTTTTATATCGACATCAGAAATACTTAGAGTTGCTTGTTGAAACCCTACCTTGATCCACTCTAGAGATTATCCATGTAAAAATTTAAGCGAAAAAAGTAGCTTAATATAACTTATTCTAAGGCACTTATAAATAGCTTACAATGGAAAAAATTTTCACATGGGTAAAGAAAAATCAACAAGAAAGAATAGGAAAGTTAGCATCAGAGTAACATCTACTGATGCTAACATATTATAGATCGCAAAAGCTCTGACGAGGGAACATTCCCAAGTGATTCCCTCTGTTTTGATTCATTCATATCTCATTCGATAGAGTATATTGAAATAAGAAAAAGCCTAAAAGGATTCGTGCCCACGGCATACCCATGGAAATTTTTTTATCAAAAAACCGCTCAAAACCGCGGTTTTTTTCATTCGACCGTGGTTTCGATTGGATAACCGCGGTTGATGGCGGTTTTTTAACCGCGATTTTCTGAAACCGCGTNAGTGCTTATTCAGGAGATTTAGGTATTATACCATTTTTTATTACTCTAAATGAAATTTATGACGGTAAAGAAGTAAAAAAAAACTATAGTGACAATGACGTTAATAAATTAATTAAAGATGAATATGATGGACATCATGGAAAAATAACTTTATTAACGAAAGAATTTGGACATGGTGTTGGTTTTCAATCAGAAACAAAAGTTAATGGAAAAGATCGTATTCATATTATTCAAACATTTTTTTTCTGAAATGTATAGAACATCTTCAAGAATCTGAATTAGTAGAAGAACAAATTTCTAAATATTAAGATATAACAACGGATATAAAACTTATAATGAATTAGATAGTCGATGAAACGAAAAAATTAATTCTTTTTGTCAAAATAAATTAAAATAAATTGAAAAAAATCAAGAAATTCATAATCATACATTAACCTTCTTTCAAGAAGCGATAAAAACTGGATTTAATTATGAAAATCGTGATGTTCTTATTAACAATATTATAAAATTAAGATCATAAATTAGTCAACGTTTTTTTTGATAGAGTTCACTAATTCATTGTCAAAAAAGACATGCAGAAAAACATTTATTCATTAATTTCATTTTCGAAATTAATAAAGAAATAAATATAAAACTATAGTTTTATGAAAAATATACTATCAAAACAAATAATATTATTGATTTCCTTGTTTTGTTGAATAGTAATTTTTTTACTTCGATAGTTCTAAAACGAATATATTTATGAGTATTTTCTAATACTCTTTAATAAACTGTGTATCATGCTTTATTATTGTATCAAAGAAATAGTAATGTCTATGAGTGGAATAATGTTATATATGCGCACTATTTGTCAATAAAAAATTATAACAATCTTGGTTTTTTTTTGTTCATAATTAATTGATCAAAATAGCAAATTAGTGAGTCCAATCAACAATTATATGTATTCATGGATAGACTTTACATTGATGATTAATTAATTACTGAAAACCGACTACAATCGATTAACATCAAGTCATTTATATATTAATGTAATGTGATAGAAACGGTGAAAAAAGTATTTTTGATTCAAAATGCAAATTTAAATTAACAATTATGTATTATCACGTAATTAATGTCAATACATTAATACTTTAAGGATAAAAAAAATTATCTATTAAATTAAAAGCTACAGAATCTTCAATTAAAAATTCTCATACAGATGGCTTTAGATTAGCATAAACAAATTTCGTAGTTAATCAATGGATATATAAATAATAATCTCAGTATGTTGCTCACTAATTGTTATAATCGTTTTACATTCTGTATTTTTAAGGTCAAAATGTTAATGTATGGTTCAGTTACGTGACAATCATAATTTCTTATTCAAAATGAAATAGACCTATCAAAATATTTAACGTCGCGCTTGTTGAGTCAGTAGTAAATATTACATAATATGTACTTTTCCGCTCTGTGATATTGGCGCTTACTTTTTCAATCTATTATTCGTATCCTCTTGTTTTAAATAATAATTTTTTTTACTTTCAAATGCTTTTCTTTGTTGCACTTAGAGTTTATCACATCCAGCATACTGTTCATAAATTTGCTATTTTTTTTTTGGTCCGCACAACTCTTTCGGAGTTAACATATAGCATTCACATCTTATCTTTACCATCAATATGCCGACATCAACCACGTAAGGTAACAAAGCCCTAACAGATAATTGTTGCTTTCTAATAGTCACAAATTGTCGATGAAATTCTATCTCATATTTATTTCTGTAGTTCAGAGATATTCATGGTTGTCCAAAAACTCTGGCTACGGTATTTAAAGAACGCCATTCAATAAAGTAATCTATTCAGAAATGAAAAACCATAATACACCATGTTGTAGAGCTTTTCTAGGCACGTTGAATGGCATATAATAACACATTTTTTCATAGAATTTTGAAGGAGCTAGAATCAATTTCCCGGTCAATAATTACATCCTCACACTCAAGCATGTTAAATTAATGTCTTTGACACGTTAGAACATTTTTTCTCTCCCCTTCCGCCCATCAATAATGCAACATATATATTAGAAGATGCTTCCTCCTAAAATTCATGTTTTAAGATAGCCCCTGGAGTTTATTGATTTGTTTTAGTGTTCAAGATTATAATTACATCCAGATTCAATACGAAAAATATTTTCTTGAAAATCAGTCTATAGGAAAGATCTATCTATTAAGATTGAGTTTCTTTGTTAAATATATCTCGTGGAATCATTTTAAAAGTCTTTTACTACTTACTCTAGAAACATCTTTCAATTTCTAAGCATGAAAAACACGTTTCTATGGTCATAGAGTCCAATAAACAGAGTGTATCTTTTCGCATATAATATATGAAGAGTTTTTTGCACAATAGTAATCGATTAAGTAAAATATTGATGTATATTCATGCAAAAGTATTTTCATCTTTGATTTAATTCTAGAAAGTCAGAAGCTTCCGCACCGCAAAATAGTTTTCAATAACTAAACAAAACCTAACTTCATGGTTTTATATGTGAGTAGTTCTTTAGAGTTTTCATATTATGCGGTATATCTTTACAGTAAGTTCTACGACAATTAGGAAATCAAAATTTAACGTTGATTGTAGCTTGGGTGTGTGAGTGTGGATGTAAAGCTATTTTGTGTCGCATTCATATCTACACCCGCGGTCAAAGCCTTCGGTGATCCATCGTCCGTCATCATCACATCAAGATGATGAGAAAAACGAAGGAAAGAGAAAAGAGGGAAAGGCATGCGCAAGTATGTGTGTGCAAACGTATCGGAGGTATAAGAATGAATCCGATCACGATCCATGCGTAAAAAGGAAAAATTTGTTGACATTAGTCATCAACGTATTTGATTTTATTCATTCTTGCATTCTATTTCATCATCTATGTCAATATATTGCGCTGTAGAGAATGTGTATAGGAATTCAACATCGACTTGGCGATTATTCAAAAGCAAACTATAGCAAAAAAAGAAAATGACTCATAGACACGATTACATAAGAGTTGCGAAAGACTTTTTATATTTTAACATATACTTGGTAAGTACGATGCACCACAATATTTGTTATATCGGCAGTACGGTTGAATAACCATTACTTAATATCAATGACATTATTTTCTTTTAAATCAACAAACAAAATAACACAAAATTTGTATCTTGGAGATGTAAAAATTGCTCGAAGTAAATATTTTCTCGAAAATAATAATATTCATGGCATAGTTAATGCCACTACTAACGAGCCAAACGCCTATCCTGAATTATATGATTATTTGCGTATAAATATTGACGATGAACCAAGCGAGCAAATTCATCCATTTTTTCAAATTGTCTTCGAATTCATACGATGGCATCATAGCCTTGGTCATAGTGTATTAATTCATTGTCAAATGGGTATCTCACGAAGTGCAACCCTCGTCATTGCATATTTGATGATTGATGGACATAAGACACTTGGCGAAGCTTTTCAACAAGTCAAGAGTGTGCGAGAACAAATCGATCCTAATGAGGGTTTTATGAAACAATTACGTGAACTTGAAATATCATTGTTTGGCGAAACAATGACTCTGGAACGTATTACGTTTCAAGATCTTAGTATCGATGAACCACCTAAAGTTGTTATGGATCGTGTGCTTATGGTTCTCGAAGACTTCGTTACAGCTTTTGCTGATGATGCATCTCCGCAGACACTCGACCTGCTCAAAGATAAACTTCTTAGATTAGCTGACAAAGTTAAACGTAATAATGTCACTGATTTATTGTCCAATGGTATTTACAGATGTCTACGAATGTTCGGAGATGATGAGTCATTAGATCAAGAAGCAAGAGTTGGTTTAAAACAAGCATTTTCTGTATTGTGTACTTTCTATAATGTTGATATCAATGATTGTCTCAATAATTTGACTAACAGTGAAGATTGGAAAGATCTCTGCATTGATGTACCATTAGTTTATCGATGGATCAATCATCTACGAGACCAAAATTCTTCTGTGGACATATCATAAACCGAATTGAATCGAATAAGCAATTTTGAAATAAAAAGACATTGATTCGAACAAATAATTATTAAAAACCTTATATGGATAATTAAAATTTGTGCGAGTCACAAAACAATAACAAGTTCCTTTTTCACCATATACTGGAGTTACTGGCGCAAACAATCTTCAGCAGATGCACTTTACTTACATGCAATTTTAAAAGAGAATAAATTTGTTCAACTTTTTTTTACCTTTATAGTACCCATCAAACCTGACTAGTGCCTTCTTTTAACATAATTTATTATATTTATTTTCGATATTCTTTCAATGTTGAAAACTGATCAGGTCAAATACCGAGACCAAATCAGACTTCGGTTGGTTGGGTATCTATCAGATCACTTCAGAATAGTTCGCTCTTAATCTACGATCAAGATCGTAAGAGTTGTTTATATGGAGCCATGCCTTTAAAAGAAAATAGTAAATGAATAGTCACTACACAGAATACGACAAGTGTAGGGTACCCTGCAGAGTTTTCTCTAGGAAAATTACAGATTCTGGTAACCATAAAAGTATTTGTTCAGTTAGCGTACTTTTATGAGTATCCTATTCAGTGCCTTCATACGTCAAATTACTGAAAATTTTTGAAATACTCATATTACGTACCCTACTAACACCTTTTCAATACATGGAGACCCTGAAATCAGTGCTTTCTCTATGTGAGACTCTCATTCACTCAATCCATTAGAAAATAATCTGAAATTTTGCCACAATTAAAACCATCATTTCGACTTCACATGTATGCAGTTACATCACAGTTCAATTATGTAAAGAAGAGAAGAAGATAAAAATATTGTTAAGTTCTACATTTCTCTTGATAAAGTTGAGAATATTTGTTTTAAAATACTGACTGCATGCAAATCATTTCATCATTAAATTTTGATTGCTTTCATACATTTCTACTATCAACGTACAAAGTTCTTGCATGTATAAATAGTTTTGATGTTGTGATTAGAACGCTATTTCTCGTCATTACAAGATTTCTCTGTGATAGTTTTTAAAAGAGACTGGGCTACAGTTGGACTATACATACTGAAAATTTTAGCTTGTTCTGTTCAGATCTTTCAATAATTCCATTACTAGTCCTATTGTGCGTCATTATTTAAAATTTATCCTCGATATTTTTCTATGTATTACTGAAAAACATAGGTAACGATAACTTTCTTTTGAAGGTCGTAAGCTTCCACTTCGATTGCCTTATTTTAAAAGTCCGATAGTAGATATATTGCTCAGTAATATAGATGTTATATTTGACGACGTTAAATCAGATTTTATATCCGATTGGCACATAACAAATATAGATTTATATTCTCTTTATAAAATTCAATTCTTATAGTTTTTTCTTCAAATTGACATAAATACTTTTTGATGTTAGTTTATCTATAGAATACATTCAAACGATGTTCGCAACGAAACAATGCATTTTTGAAACATTCACTTGTTACGATCTCTATAAAATGCTATGAGATGACATATATTCATTTGTAAGACTATTTTCCAAATTATGACATGAGAAAATCAAAAGAAAGTTTCTTATATGGTTAGTTGGGAATACAAACTGAGATTATAGAGCAACTTAATTCAAATGTTCGAATTGATGTTCATTAGCATCGATGCACATCTGAAATCTTTTGGAAACTGATTCATAAAGTTTCTTACACACACCAGAATCTATTGTTGAGAACGCTGTCATGATTGATTGTTCAAGACTGGATAAGGTTTGAGGCTTGTTTTTATAAATAATATCTTTGAATGTAATCCCACAAACTTACTGAAAAGTTTTCGTCTAACCAATCTCAAACATCAAAAACATAATACATTGATCCATCATAATGCGTAAAGAAGATTAATTCATTACTTAGTAAATCACAAAATATTGGCTGGAAACAATCCTTCAATATTTTAAAATAAAATTGGCAAGTCACTGTATTCTTGAAGAAGGAAAATCCGATTACATCCTAAGACCAAGGTCCAGTCCATACAGTAAGTCCTTCTGCTTCCATTGTTTGTTTTCATGTAATATTTGGATTTTGCGTTTTAGATACGTTGCACTCAAGATTTTGAAATATTTAATTCTGAACTCATTTGTCGAAACAACGTTCAAGGTTCTTTTTCCAAAATCAATCAAACTTTATCCATTGCAGTTTGACTAGTAAATGATATTGCTCTACCAAGTGATGGATTAATATGGAGTTTCGAATCAGTCAATTCAAAGTTTTTCATCAATAGTCTTATCGTATTGAGATGCCCAGGATTGTTATTTATTTCTTTAGATCATAATCTTTGCACATTGATTAGATATTTAAGTCGATACATGTGTTTCATGAGTGTCATTATTTGTGTATCAGAAAGCATAAATAGACAGATAAAAGTTTACAAATATATTCTGGAATCATTCTACAAAATTTTATAGAGGCCGTGTCCATGTTTCTCGTATTAAAAAGATTTAAAGTAAATGTCTATCATTGGTAAAAATTTCAGCTCGTTTGGACCGACGTCTAGCCAATATATTAAAATTTCCTATCCTTGTGTTACTTATAGAGCATATTCATGTCCAGTCTTTTAGCTTTTTTAATATATTGTTGGATACATTGTAATGAACCATTGACGAAGATATGTATTTTCATCTTTTTTTGAAATGAGTTTTTAGGGAGAAAATTTCTTTTTTCTTTCAAAGAGCTACTTTTTCTGACAAGTGGATCAATATTTGATAATCAACAAATTACTAATTTTTTATTTCACATTAGGTTTTTTACGCTGAATCTCACAAACAAAAGTTTAGAAAATTTAGCGAGAATGAAAAGAAAAATGACCTATTTTTTTCCTAAAACTCATTTCAAAAAGATAAAAGAAGATTCTTGAATAAATCGTCATTCTTTACCTAATCCAATATCAAAGAAAGAAAGAAAAAGATTATTGCTTTAATACTGTATTTTTCGTATCAAAGGAATTCACTTCAACAAAACAAACAGATATACATCTCTTTGTTAAGCAACATTAAATAAATTAATAATCAAAATATCGTTTACTTTTGATTGTTACTGTGTTTCTTCCTACTTTAGATAAATATTAGAATTTACTAGAAAATTTTTAACAAGTATAAAGTTAAAGTGAAGATAGATAGACAAAATGCTGTTTGATACATGAATATATGCAAACAATGTTATTTCAATTGCATCCGATTGAAACTTGTTTTTATCTTGTGAAGTATTTATTATTAATTCACATCTGAGGGTATGGATGTAGTTTTAAGTTTACATGAATATTTTATTGCGGTATAAGCCGAATCGAGTCGTAATTCATGATAATGAGAAAACAAAAACATTAAAATAAATTAGTTCTTGTTTACATTGAGTTTATTTCAAGTATAGGTATCCAATCTTTGATTTGACGAAAATCTTTCTTATTGATGAAAGCGAGAAGAATTATTTTTCTTTTATAAACAATAATTTTCATCAATGTGTAATGCTAGAAGTACTAAGAAGATGTGCGCTCTTAGTCGTATCTAAACTCATATCTGACATAAATCTCAGTCGAAATTAGTTCTATTTCCTTCAGTACCATTATTGATTCTAAATTTTCCCTATCAAACAGTCACCTATGAACAGACTTTTTTTATTTCACTGATTATGTTTTTGAACTTATTAAACAACACTGAAATTAAAACAATAAACTACAAGATTTAATTTGGTATGATTATAAGGGTTTAAGAACAGAACAATCGCAGACATCCATTTGTACATTCATATCTATCTATATTCTTCACTTTTAATTCTATATATATAACAAATGTCTTCGAGGTTCAGTCCCATTTGGTCGACAGGTCCTTAATTGATCCCTTTTTGTCAACAGAAATTTTCTTCCTGTTTCGTCGACAAAAATTTTCTTCCCGTTTAGTCGACAACTTTTCCTCTCTTTCATATAGCGCATTTTAATAATTAACAGTTTGGCCGACTAGTTAAGAGACAACTGATAAAGAATCACAAGACTTATTGTACAATTTTAATGTTTAACCTAGGTACATGAATACTGCACTTCGTTAATTTTTTAAATAACATCAGACGATGAAAGTGAACTAGAATCAGATGCAAGAAAATAGTACAAAAAATTTATGATATTTTTCTTATTGGTGTCGAATTCTCATATATTTGTTCTTTTAAATATGTTATAAACAATTTTTGTTGGACTTTTGGTTCATGATTATCTTGAGCAGTTACAACAGGAATTTGATCACTTTTCTGAGTAAGACGTCCTGGACATTCGTTTCGATTCTTATAACGACAGAAAGTATTGACATTACGAATATCATCACGTAAGTATCGATAATCATTGAAAATCAAACATTTTGTGTCTTTTTGGGTTTCAATTATCGTATACATTTTCATTCAAATATATGGAATATAAGTACAGATAGAAACAAAGAATATACAAATTATTGTGGTGGTTTGTTTTCTTTCATTATGATTCATCCACTTTATGTATTCGATATTATCTTTTCTAATAAAAGGTAATCATACTAGTCTTACTGATGTATCGTTATTCGATTACATCGGTTACATCGTCACCTATAAAACACTAATCGTGATCTATATTTACAATAATCTTTCATCTTTTAAAATAAGTGAATACTCATTATGCAAGTGACCAGATTACCCTTAACTAGTCGACTAAATTATGAATTATTAAAATGCGGTACATGAAAGAGAGGAAAAGTTGTCGACAAAACGGGAAGAAAATTTTTGTCGACCAAACAGGATGAAAAATTCTGTCGACCAAACAGGACAAAAATTTTTGTCGACGAAACGGGAGGAAAATTTCTGTCGACGAAAAGGGACCAATTAAGGACTTGTCGACCAAACGGGAGGATACGGATCAAAACTAATCAAATAAATGAATACAATGAAGAAATAGTTCGTTCTGATATTGTTTTTTTTCGGTTGTAAGGAAAGATTTCGAGATAGAAACACTAT